TAAAACCTGGAGAGAAGAGTACTTTCCAATAATTTGCTGTTTATGGTTACCCCCATCCTTTTTGGCCATTGAACTGCTGGAAGAAGATTAATAAACTCTCCTCCTCACTTGCCACTGGTCTTTAGAACAGAAACAAGTCAGTGGTTTGGCTGAGGACTGCTGTCTCATTGTAGAGGAGGCAAGCCTTGGGAAAGTCTAGACCCTGCGATGGAATAATCTAATGCAGACAAAAGGGAGCCACACTGAGTAACATCAGTCTCAGCGGTTCTGGAAAATTTAATCAGATAGCTGGCTATGTATGCTAGTCTTCAGCCATTGAGGGCCCTTTGTAGTTCTGTTTCCACCTAATGTACCAGTAGAATGTTTGTCTGTGTACAGACGATAGGATCAGACAGCCTCATGTTTGTTGTCCAGTTTCACATAGAATACCAAGTTTATTGTTCCCGTTCAGAATACGTGACATTGTGCTAACAACTTGGCTGAGGAGGGGGAAACTGTGCATGTTAACATAGACTAAAGAGTGGTATTTCCATAAGTAAGGCTGGTATAATCTGACCTGAACTTTAAGGTTACATTTCATGACTCCATTTGGGTTACTATAGCAGGGAATTATCAAGACAGATATGAAGCCCATTCACTGCCTCAGTATCCCACAGCATGCTGCCTCAGTTTCCTCTCCCTTCCCACTGATAAGGAACTGTTAGTTTCCAGCACTGCTAGCCTACTGTGGTGACTTAGCCCTCCAGCTGAGCAATAAAAGTCCATCCCTTTCAGAGTTAAAGTCCAAAAAGGGGCATAAAATTCTGCCTTCCACCCCAGATTTTTATCCAGCACAGCCCTTCCTCTCAGCATCTGTCTTATTCCAGAATAGTATTTAGCTCTTTTGGGCTTCTTTTCCAACCCTCCTTAGCTCTCCTCCACTCTCTTTTCTCCCGGTTGACACGGATGTCTACAGACCTCACAGTGAGTGATAGGATGACATATGGAGAATCTATAATCAGCCTTACTACAAGTCCCTAGCCTTTGAACCCTAAACCACTGGACCATCTGCCCCATAACCCAAGCTGCCCTGTCTTTCCTTCCCTGGACCTTTTCCTGTGAATTCAGGCTAAGTGTAGTCACACACTTACACTGCTTTTCCCACCACTCTTTAAAGAGGCCTTCTATGCTCCAAGGCCTGTTCTCTCTGGAATCTCACCCAGGATTTAATACAAACCACCCGTATATCTCCCAGCAGGAAGTTCTTAGTACGCCTCATCACATTACCCTTATACTCTCATTCATGGGTGGCGGGTGAAGCTTCCTCTAGGGAAGACTAGCTCCCTGCCACATCTCTTCTGCCTGTACCCTTGCCCTGGTTGGTTCCCTCTCCATTTAGCCCCTCTCACCTGCTACCACTTGCCACATCCCTCCTCCCCTCTCTCTCCATAGGAGTCAGGCTTGAGCGGTGGGAGGTGAGGCGGGAAATGACAAACGGGGGTACTGCAGGGTGGAGGAGAGGATGAATGCAGCAAGGTCTCACAGGGGTGGGGGTGTGAGGAGGGACACAATGAGTGGCAGGTGTCTTCAGGGGAAAAGGGGTGAAGCAGAGGAGGGATGTAGGAGCAGTATGGGATGGGGGGAATCTTGTGCGGATGGAGAAGAGAAGAGACAAGGTGAGTGGCTGATGAGGAAACCCTCTCAGGGCTGGGGGACAGAGGAGAGATGTGGCAAGCCATGGGAATCTCTAGAGAGGAGGGACTCACTTAGCAGTGGGTGCTCCAGGGAAGAGGCAGAGCACAGGGTAGGCCACCACAGCCCAGGCATCTGAAAAGAGTTAGCAGTGGCTGTGGTGGCAAAAGCTTAGCCTCCCCTGGCCTATCATACCCGGGCCCATGCTCTCATTTTCTCCACCTGCGACGGTGGGCTAAATCTGGCACAGGGGAGTGCTGAGCCTTAAACACCCCCCGCCCTCATCCCTCCCTTAAAGGGCTAGCTCACCCCATGAGTCACAACAGACCTTCTCTTCTGGGTTGAACAAACCTTTGAGAACTCAGTGGAGCCATACACAATAAAGAGTGTAAGAAAACTTCCTGATTTAGTTTTCAGTTTTGCTTTCGCCCTAGTAGATTTCAATTACTAATCTGAAATTTAAAGAGAAATGTGAAACTACATAAATCAGAAGAATTAGTCAAAACCTGCATGGCTAGAAACAGGCAAGTTTTACATAGTTCTATGAAGGAAGTGCTTCACATTATATGGCCTACAGTAAATGTAGAGAAGCATCAATGCTGCAGAGAAAAACATTATTATGACTCATACTGATTGTACCCTAGAATTCTATCCCCCTTTCTATCACAGATGCTCAATATTACTAAGCTCATGTCATACTTTAGATGAGATAAAGAAAACAAACTAATGGATTTGTGCAGAACGTGTTTTTTAATTTTCAGTAAGCTGTATGGTGAACAAACCTGCGATGTCTTAAAATGAAGCATTATACTGTCTGTTTGGTACTTGTCCTAAATTTTAGCATGTTACATCTTATGCTAATAAATACAAGTTAACTGACTGGCAGCCTTGTTGAATTTTTGTGGTGCTGGCAAGGACAAGGTAATGGCTGAGTGCCTGCAAAAACAGAGAAATCCCATCTGAGAGCTAAAATACCAGGCTCCAGACCTACCCGCTTCACAGTGTAGTAAACACATGCTTGACTTATTTCAATTGGATTACTGCTTGTCTGATTTGTGTAGCAGGAATAAAACAAAAGTCAATTAAGATTTAATTGTTTAAAATTAAATGTACTTGTGATTCTCTAAGTACACATGTAGATTTAAATTGCTTAGATTAATGCATAATGCGAAGTAAATTTATTTCCTCAATGCATCTTTCTGGTGCAGTAGAAAACTAGAATCATCAGGTTTTGGTTTTCATATTTGAACTGTATTCAGTTACGGAATTCAGTAACATTCACAATTTTAAATTTAGAATAAGTCTCTTATTACCATTGAAGGTCTAAAGTCAAGCCAAGAAAGAAAAAGAACGTTGATTTTTAGTGGCCACCACGCTGTTTTCCAAACCCCCAACTCTATTCCACATCCCTAATAGAAAGGTAAAGAATAAAAACAGATTACTAAGATTTACATAATCTTAAAACCCTCTGCATGTGCATCATTTCCAACTCTCTTTGTGTGTGTACTCTGTAATTGCAGGTACAAATAGCATCTGCACAAGGAAATATGTCACCTACATAAACACCTTATATATATGCACCCAACAGGGTGGGAGCAGAGTTTATCTGGAAATGTAAGTGTACATGCCCTAATAAGTCTGTTGGTCTCTAAGGAGCCACAGGACTCCGCATTGTTTTTATGTTTTTGTATTTGGACTTCCATCTCCACACTTTTTTGACCTATTGCAGCCAAAAGTCAAAATGACGCTTAGCTCCTGAAGGGAAAGCAAAATGGTGCTGCTGGCATGGGGAGTCTGAGGCACCTAACTTTGAATAAGGAAGGTCAGCTATCTGGATTTGGTCTATAGCTACAGATGCAACTGTGCTTGGTAGCATGTACAAATGAAAGGGTTTGCTGCTTCTCCCTGGAACAGCAGTAAGATTTGCTATGAACTGTTTCTCAGCTAGGAGAGAGGCAAGGGGGCTTTGAAAAATGTCCTTGGTTGTACATTTTACTATTCAGGGCCATCATTAAGAATATCCAACATACACAGCTGCATAGGGCACTACAGGTTGGAGCTTCCTGGCCTGGCACCCTCAGGACCCGACCAGTCCCAGATGAGGGATTTTGCTGGACCAGGGGAGATCATTTCTGGACCTTCTGCTGCTGCCCTCCCCCTCCCCTGCTCCTCACCTCAAGCAAGGTAGCAGGGCCACCAGACTCCGCTGAGCAGCCATCACTGCCCTGGCTCTGGGACCTGCAGGGCAGCTGCATGTGTTGCTCTGAAATTCCAGGACCTGCCCAGCAACCGTGCACCAGGGATCCCTGCCCCACTGAGCTACCACAGCTCCCAGCCCTGCCGAGCAACCACGCACATGTCTCTCGACCCCGCTGGACAGACTTGCACTGACAGCAGGTTCACTGCAGGCATCCCAGTGCCCTGTTGACCCTCCAGGGGGACACTTGCCACTGGCCCTCTACCAGTACACTCTGGTCGTACAATATCTGTGCCAGACCATGGATGTTGCCAGATCAAAGAATCCCAGTTAGGAGAGTTTCAACTTGTACTAAATTTGTAGTATGCCTTGTATGCCTAGGGACACCTCTGGCCACAGGCAGCACCAGCTCTGGCAACCCCAATCTTCCATGGCTGGTGTTCTGCTTCCCAGCCCCATTGGATAAACTCCCCCGGCCCTGGTCTCCCCACCCCAATCCTCTGTCCCCCTGATCCACCACCCAGGCTGCCATTCCAGCAAGCTGCCCTGCCCACCAGCCTGAAGCTCCAGACAGCTGTGCCATTCAGTCTGCCTTCTCCCCCACCATCCTCCCTTCCCTCCCCACAGCTCCTGAGCACAGCCTCATCCCAGGGAGTGGCCCTACTTCTCCCCTCCCCCGGCGATGGAAGGTACAGGTGCTCGGGTTGCATAGGGCACCAACAATTTTAAGGACAGCCCTGTTTACTATTGCTCCAAAACAAGTAGCATAAAAATATTTAGAATATGCTCCTCCCCTTAAAACATGCTACATAGCACATGTCCAGAGAGTGTGATCAATTGACCTTATTCTCTTCGGGTCATAGTGTCATCAGGTGAAATTGCTGCTCCCACAATTAACATTCAAAGGAATGCTAGAGTGAAGTCCCGACTAGTTGCTGAAGAAGGGAGAGTCACTGGGAGAAAAAAAGAACTCTGAATCCCCTTATTAAGGTTCTCAGAGTAGCTGTACAGCAGTCCCTTTGCATTAAATTGTACATATGAAGGTATTGACCTATCTGCAGAGTTGCTGTAAGGCCTTCTAAAATACATGGGAGGTATTAGAATTGCAGCAAATACAGTACCTCATCTATGACAATGTTACATCGTGATTAAGGTGGGATCTGCCAGTCAAGAGAGCTGGGTTTTACTTCCTCCTTTTTCTCACTGACTAGCCAAGCCGTGTTGGGTTCTCTGCCTCAGGTGCCACATCTGTAAAACAGAGATAATAATAATTACCTCATTAAAGTGCACTAAACAGTGTTTAAACTGAGCATTACAGACTCCCATATTTTCCCAGAAAGGATGGGGATTTGCATTTGGTAAAGGAATATGCCAGTAGCAATAGGGAAAGGAGAAAATGAAGGTAGGTGTGAAATCAAGAAACCTTTTTTTATTACATTTATTTTATAGTTACTTTCTCTGGGAAAATCACATTTCCTGGTTGTATTTTTTTTAATTGCATTTCAACAGGGCAGTTTAGATCGTGTTCTGAAAAATTTTGTGTGTGAATGTTATTCACCTAATTAGTTTATAATATTCATGCCTGCAGCGTACAATGTATTCACTTACAGAAAGGTCATTCAGATTGCTTTATGGTGTTGGCGCAAACAAACAGAAACACTGAAATGCACAGCTAAGTATGAAATGCACCACATCTCCTCAATTGCAATCAAAGTATAATAAGCTTTACCCAGAAAACCATTAATATTGTGCTCTAGAGTCTCTAGCCACTAGTGGGCGTGTGTACATTTTATATTTAACAGAGATTGTCCTTGTTAGTGGTTTGTCCCACCAAGCATGGGGCCGGAAATACTTTCCATATCTCACAAATCTTTTCGTGAGTTCAGCTCTTTTTTCCCCATCTCAAATCAGGGTAAGAAGTAGAAATGTCAAAAATATTTGTGAACCAAAAAAAAAAGTTGTTTTTTTTTATTTTGGCTTAATCAAACTATTTTTTTCAATCGTTTCGAAATGTTTCATTATGATTCAGTCTAATTAGCTTACATTTCTCAACCAAAAATTGTTTCATACTGGAATTGTTTTCATAATGGAAAACTGTAATTTTCCATTTTGAAAATGTCAAAACATCTTTTTTAAATTTCAGTTTTGAAACTTTTTTCCTCAACATTTTGAGGAGTTGGGAAATTGGATAACCCTACTGAACATTTAAATTTTGACAAATCAGCATTTTTGTATTAGAGAACAATTCTTTGAAAAATTCCCAACCAGCCATAGTCCCACCTTAATTTGCTTTTACTGTACTTTTCTGTGTACTCTGTATTGGGTTTTTTTCAAGTTTTTAAAAGTCAATTTAAGCACCTGGAAAGGTGCCAGATTGACAGCTCTGAAAACCTATGTCTTCCGTTAATCCCAAGCATCACTACAGCTCAGTCAGTGGTAATGCACACTTTACAACATCAACCTTCCAATGTGTCCCAGCCCTGTCCAGGAAGAATAATCTCAATGCAAGTCCCTATGCCCAGTCAATCCTGGCACTTTCTATTGAGATTACCAACAAAGAAGTCTTTTAATGCCACTGCTTGCTAGGATAGGAGACTGACCAGAGTAGTAAAAGTGTTGCACTTACGCAATGCAACAGCCAATAGGTAGTAGAGAGAATTTTTTAAAATTCTATAGAAGAATTGTGATTTTAAAATATATTTTTAACAAAACAAAGACTATTCTAAAGCATGTTACATATGTAAGTAAATTAAATTGCAAAACTATATCCTTTGAATTGTGACTATTCAACTCATTCAGAATCAATCCACTCGTAATAGAAGTCTATGATAAATAAGGATGCATTAGAACACACTAATTCATTCTAGTTACTGCCAACAAATCTTTAAAATCTGGGTTTTTTTTTTCAGTCTTATCTGATTTCCTTAATTTACATCAAAACTATTTCTATTATGCAGATACACTTACAACAATATCATCTTAAGGAAACTCTTTGAGAAAGCTTTAGAACTACGAGGATTTATAACAGCTTACTTTAAGAGTTTCTTCCTCTGATCAGTGGTGTTATAGCCATATTCATCCCAGAATATTAAAGAGACAAGGTGAATGAGGTAATATTTTTATTACACCAACTTCTGTTTTCAGAATGGCAAGTTTTCAAACTTACGCACAGAACAAGAGCTCTGTATACCTCAAAAGCTTGTCTCTATCACAAGTAGAAGTTGGTTCAGTAAAAGCTATTACCTCATTTGCCTGTTCTGGCTGTAATTTAAATCCAGATTAAATTAGTATTCACTTTTATTGCCTTTCCTATGAGTCTCTCGGTGAAACATTTCATAGGGATCTGGGGCACAGGGATCAGTGAAATAAATCCATTGAGCACAAGTCCAATCGATGCTTAGCAGCAGAGGGCTCCAGGACTTCCTCATGGATGGTCTCTGGCTAATCCATCAGGAACTGTGCATGTCTCAGTGTATCTGAAGGCGAAAAGGGAAGGCTGGAATTACTGCTTGCAATGGTGAGAAATAAAATAGCAGCAATTCACCATGCTTAGTCCCTGGCAGGCTGTTGCTGCTATATTTACCTGTGCCTCTGCATGTATGTGCAATTGTAGCTTCCATTGGCTGTGGATTGCCATTCCCAGCCAATAGGAATTGTGCAAAGCAGCATGGACCAGAACATTGCTTCCCACAGCACCCATTGGCTGGGAATGGTGATCCACGGCCATGGGAGCTACAATTCCCCTTACCTGCAGAGGCATGGGTATATATAGCATTAGCAGCCCACCAGAGGCTAACCCTGGGGAATCAGATCTGGCCTACGGGCAGTATTTGCCCACCTCTGTTAAAGGCTATCATCTTCCACATAAGGAAAGGCAAAGCTTTCCTCCTCTGAGATCCCTCAAATAATAAAGTTGTGCCCTACTGCTTTTACTTTAAAGAATGATGAAAAGTATCCAATCTTCTGTTCTGCAATGGCATCAGCAATGTAGTTTTGCACTTTACACCTTTAGCTTAATAAAGGATTTATCCACAAAACACGATCTAATAGAAAAATGTACTATGAATGGGCCACATGTCTATTCAGTGGCATAAAATATGCTACGAGTCTTGTTTCCAAGAGTAAACATAGTATTTATTCTAAATGATAAAAAAAATGGAACAAGATGTTAAAAACGTGGTCTGGGATAGGGCGGGGAAGGGAGTTGGATATTAAAAATGTATTGGAAAAGAATGAATTTCGCTACAATGTTTATTTTTCTGTGTAACAGAAATCAGATAACCCATGATTATTCTATATACAACTGAAAGAATGTCTTCAAGGGTCTCAGGGACTCCTTCAGAAAGAAAAGAAATAGATCATTGGCACATCTGAATTAAATAAGGATTTAAGTGCATTAACTTCACAGCAAATGTTGTGGTAAGACACTATGTGCCATTACAACTGGTTTGATTTTTTTAAAACAATTTGGAAACCATTTTTTCTATGTCTGTAAAATGATCAATGACATTACAGGAGCCAAAAAAAAATGTCTATGATTTCCTGCAGAGTGTTACTTCAACAGAAGTCCTATTTTAACAGGATATAAATAGAATCATCCATGCAAAAGTAATGAAGATTTCTTGATGCATATCTTTATTTTAAAACAATCATTTTATCCAAAAGATTCCCATATGCTTATATCACCTATTGTTTCACTTAAATTGAATACAGAATATTGGATTTTCCCCTCAATGCTAAAAATGGGGCCTTAATAAAAACAAAAAACAATGAAAACAATGAAAATGGTCTTTACTGTTTAAGTTTAAAGAACAAAGCCTGTTTTAAAATATTGCATGTTTTCAATTACATATCTAAAAAACAAAAAGGACAGTTTTTCTTTGTAAATATGCTTTTATAGTTTAGTGTCTTTTTTCCCCTTTAATTTTAAATATATTTTGAAAGTCTTCAATAGAATATCTTCCAAATGCATTGCAGTTACCTTATTTTTGTCACTTCAAATTATTTAGCTAAAAAATGAAGAATCATGAAACAATGTTTATAGAAAAATGGCATCCACACTGCCCTCTTGTGCAAGAGTTCTCATGCAAGAAGACTTATACCTGTTAGAAAAGTGTAGCTCTTGCGCAAGAAGCCCTCTCTTACCACACTTTACTGTAAATCCTCTTGTGCAAGAGCGAGTGAGCAGTGTGGATGCTCTGCGGAAGAATGGCCCTTCTTGCGCAATAACCCGCCAGTGTAGACATAGCCTATGTGTTTGTTAGGCCTTGGTTCAGTCTATCCAATTTGCATATGAATTCCAGCTCAGCAGTTTCTCTCTGAAGGCTGTTTTTGAAGCTTTTCTGTGCAAAAATGGGAAGTTTCAAGTCTGAAACTGTGCCCAGGGAGGTTAAAAGGCTCCCCAGTGGCTTTTGGATGTTGCCATTCTTAATGTATGATTCATGTCCATTTATTCTGTTGTGTAGAAATAGTCCAGTTTGTCCGATGTACATTGCAGAAGGACATTGTTGGCATGTGAATAGCCTTTAATGGTATAGCTGATGTGGTTAGGTCCTGTGATTGATGGTGTCACTAGGGTAGATGTGTGGGCAGTGTTGAGAAGGGGCTTGTTTCAGAGATAGGTTCCTGAATTAGATTTTCTGTTGTGGGGTGTTAAGTTGGTGGTGAATTTTTGCCTCAGGTTGGGGGGCTGTCCATAAGCAAGCAATAGCCTGTTTCCCAAAGTCTATGAGAACAAGGTATCATCTGTCATCTCGTAGGACATTATTTCTCAAACAATAGTACAATTTTAGGGGTACTCGAGAGAAATCTAGGGGGTATGTCAACACAACTGAAATTTGGAAAAAACTGAATTTTTGTTTTAAGTTTTACAGTGTTTTATTATTTTTGTACTTTTTACACCCAAAAATTCCATTGCCCACTCAGCTACGATTAAGTTGTTTAAACAAATGTGTTGCAATGGTAGAAAAAAATTGCGTGTCTGAAAACTGTAGGTACTGGGGATACTTTTTTTTTTTGAAAAAGGGTTACATTATAAAAATGGTTGAGAAACACTGATGTATAGGAGAGGTTTTGGCTGGGGGGTTAGGTAATAGCTGGCAGTGTTCTGTTGCTTTCTTTGTTGGTTCTGTTTTGAAGTAGGTGACTTCTGGGTATCTACCTGGTTAGTTCTTCAAAAGACACAACAACACATTACAGCCTATTAACTTCACTAGTGAATACAGCTTCCTTTCAAACACTGAATTGCT